ACACACACACACACACACACACACACACACACACACACACACACACACACACACACACACACACACACAGGTCTCTTCTACCTAATGTGAAGAACTCAGACAATGTAGTGCAAGGAGAGCCATATAAGGGCTTTATGTAGCACCACATAAAGACAAAGGGTTCAATTCTGCCATGCTTAAGTCACATTGAATATTACCTAGCTCAATGAGGAATTTCAGTTGGACTATTGTGAAGTAAGGTTATTAGAAGAAGATAGGCGTTTTCCCTGATGAAAGAAAAAATATTCTGCAATCTCTGAAAACAATTCATTCTGGATCAGCAATAGGAAATGACACAGAAGCAGGTGAAAGTCCACACATCTAAAAGTCAACATTTGGAAATAATTATGATGCGAAACATTTCAAACAGAATTGACATAAGTGCTTTTTATGCACATCTCCAGAAAGAAATACTTCGCAAAATTTCCAAACCTAATAATTTTTGTTTTAGAGAAAGAGTAGCAACATATGGTATAACCATTTTAGAGTTAAATTAATTTGAAAACTGAACAAAGCCACAAATAATAAGATTGATCAGAATCTCAGCGAGAATCAGTAAATTAATGAAGTCGCATCCTTCTATAGAAATCAATCCTACAAAAGTAGACAAGTAACTTTTAGATAAAATAAAGAAAATATGAATTAAAACACTGAAGGACAGCTGGGAAATTAAAGTATTTCTATCTTAAAAATGTGGTCTAAGAGTGCAATAAAGCTAAATAAATAATTTGGTCAAGCAATGCTGAATGGGACAAATAGGTTGACTGTTTATAAGGATGTAAAAACTGATGGGGAGAATATTAAGTTAGTGTGTTCCAAGGAATATAAATTATGCCTCTTCCATTTCTAATTCCATTCTTCTTCTCCTTTATTTCCAATATAGTTTCTCCATGTTAAACATTGGACATGCCACTCTTCTGGGAGCTGCGCGGAGCGGAGCAATCCCCCGACCCCACTCCCCAGCTAGAGCACCAGAGCAGGGCAAGCCCTGGACCCCGCTCTTGGCGGGAGCTTGAGGGCCGGATTAAAACATCTGGAGGGCCGGATGCAGCCCCTGGGCCGTAGTTTGCCCACCCCTGGATAAGAGGGAAGGTCTTCTTATGGATCAGTAACTGGTTAAAAGATAGGAAACAAAAGGTAGGAACAAATGGTCAGTTTTCAGAACGGAGAGAGGTGAAAAATGATGGGGTCTAAATTAGTTGTTACCACTCAAGAAAGAGATCTTGGAGTCATTGTGGATAGTTCTCTGAAAACATCCATTCAATGTGCAGCAGCAGTCAAAAAAGCGAACAGAACGTTGGGAATCATTAAGAAAGAGATAGATAGATAATACAGAAAATATCATATTGCCTCTATATAAATCCATGGTACGCCCACATCTTGAAAACTGCATGCAAATGTGGTCACCCCATCTCAAAAAAGATATATTGGAATTAGAAAAGATTCAGAAAATGATTAGGGGTATGGAACGGCTTCCATATGAAGAGCGATTAATAAGACTGGGACTTTTCAGCTTGGAAAAGAGATGACTAAGGGAGGATATGATAAAGGTCTATAAAATCATGGCTGGCGTGGAGAAACTAAATAAGGAAGTGTTATTTACTCCTTCTCATAACAGAAGAACTAGGGGTCACCAAATGAAATTAATAGTCAGCAGGTTTAAAACAAACAAAAGGAAATATTTTTTCACATAACGCACAGTCAACCTATGGAACTCCTTGCCAGAGGATGTTGTGAAGGCCAAGACTATAACAGGGTTCAAAAAAGAACTAGAGAAGTTCATGGAGGATAGTTCCATCAATGGCTATTAGCTAGGATGGGCAGGGATGGTGTCCCTAGCCTCTGTTTGCCAGAAGCTGGGAATGGGCAACAGGGGATGAATCACCTGATGATTGCCTGTTCTGTTCATTCCCTCTGAAGCACCTGGCATTGGCTACTATCAGAAGACAGGATACTGAGCAAGATGGACTATTGGTCTGACCCACTATGGCTGTTCTTATGTTCTTAAGTAGTTTCAGATAGTTTAAAAGGTATTACTATTAGTAGTACTATTTAAAAGGTAGATTAAAGGTCTAGAGAACATGACCTATGAAGGAAGGCTGAAAGAATTGGGTTTGTTTAGTTTGGAAAAGAGAAGACTGAGAGGGGACATGATAGCAGTTTTCAGGTATCTAAAAGGGTGTCATAAGGAGGAGGGAGAAAACTTGTTTATCTTAGCCTCTAAGGATAGAACAAGAAGCAATGGTCTTAAACTGCAGCAAGGGAGGTTTAGGTTGGACATTAGGAAAAAGTTCCTAACAGTCAGGGTGGTTAAACATTGGAATAAACTGCCTAGGGAGGTTGTGGAATCTCCATCTCTGGAGATATTTAAGAGTAGGTTAGATAAATGTCTATCAGGGATGATCTAGACATATTTGGTACTGCCATGAGGGCAGGGGACTGGACTGGATGACCTCTCGAGGTCCCTTCCAGTCCTAGAGTCTATGAATCTACTAGCTCAAAAAATTTATATGTAGCTTACATGAAGTATTATTTCATTTTGGGAGATAAATCTAAAAAGCAGATCTAAAATCATTATTTTTAAAAAATACAGGTAAATGCTGATGGCATTAATTTTTATTTGAATTCAGCACGGTCAAAAGAGATATTTCCTCAGATAAGAAAATGAAGTACAACATTAAGTGACACATTCTTGTTTGAGAGATTAAGTTTTAAAATGTTGGCCAAAACTGATGTTTTTAAAGACATAGTATATGTCTACCTCTTAAAAGTTACATTGATAGAAGTGAATCATATTGCAATCTCCATATTTCAATGGGGAACTGAGTTACAGAGAGACTAAGTGACATCCCAAGGTCACACAAGGAAGCAATGGTGGAGCAGGGAATTAAACCCAGGTCTTGTAAATTGTAGTCTAGCACTCTAACCTCTAGACCATCCTTACTGAACTCAGTCAAGCACATAATCACAATGGTATCTAGGTGGTCATATACAATTAAGGCTTGTGTCTATCTTGAGCAAAAAGAATTATACTATTTAGTGCTATATTTAGCCACCACTACTTATGAGGATTTAAATTTTGTATGCAATGGATCTTGTAATGAATTCCATGCCTCTTACTATGAAAAGGCCTGTGAAAAGAGGTATGGTAATTCAGGAAAGCATTCCTGATCAGAAAAGGTGCTTACGTAAATGCTTAACTTTACGCACACGCTTAAGTGTTTTCCTGGGCCAGAGCCTAAGCTCATTCAGGCCCTTATAGGTTAGACTAGGAATTTGAACTGGACTGTTAA